AAAAAATGTTTTAGGGTGTTTTTCAATTAAAATGTAAACTATTTTTTTACACTCAACTTTATCATCACATAAGTAGTTAACAAACTGACCCATCTGATAGCTTAGTGGTGACAGGTTCTCCTTCAAAAAGGAGACATTAACGGTCTTTTACCCCCTGTCACCTCTGCAGCCTAATGAAGCTAATCAAGCACATATTGTGCTTGATTAGCTTCATCCCTGGCCACAGCAGCCCGGGAATTGCAATTCAGAACACAGAAATGACAAATTTCTTGTTTCTTTCCTTTAAAAATAGAGGAGAGCAGCAAACATATGCTGCAGGGCTGCTGGAAGTGATCAGCTGTCCAAATCACTTCCACATTGTATTTGTGAATCTGTTGAAAGAAAATAAACTGACTCAACCAACAGTTTACAGCGGCATGTTGCCATGGACATAGCATGGTATGGCAAAGAAAGGGTTAAAAGGACAAGTTATACCAGTGGTACAGCTGTCCTTTAAAGTGAAAATTTAGCCCCCCAAAAAAACTCGGCCAGGAAGACCTTTTTGTGCAGAAGAGACATATTGGGCAGCTCGGTATACAATCTCAACATGTTTTGGTGTCAGGACACATTAACTCCTATGCCTAAGCGCAGGAAAGAGGTCACCCTGGGCTGGCCAAACACTACCGATGAAGAGGAAGTTGCTGCTGGAAAATAAGCTTGCAAGTGTTGCATTGCTGGAGATGAGTATAGAAGACTTTAGTAACACTTTAAACATCTAGGAGCAAGAGAGTCTCTGTGCATGAATTCTACCCGAATTCTTCATTGATTTAAGAAAAAAAAAAAAGTGCTAAAGTAACAAATAAGGGATCTTGAGCACATTTCCCTCAACTACCATACGCTGCACTTCTTTCGGACCATCTCCAGTGAATTAAGATTTTAAAAAGGGAACTATAGTTTTCATCACACACTGTTTTTGAAGATGTGAGCCTTGGGCTTGTGGTTTAACTATTTACTTAATGTAGAATATGACAATCGCAGAGCTTGCATCTGGATCGCTAAATAATTGCCAATTTCATTTGGTATGTCTTTAGAAAGTTTGGCTTGGCTAACTAAAGATCTGAATACTGGTGACATGGCACTTACTGTATGTCCCTGGAATGTTTTTATTGGCCTGTCTTGTCCCAACTTGCAGACATGAATGCACATATCTGTACTGCACGATGCAAATGTGTTGTTACTTTGCCAGTCCACATCTAATGCTGGTGCTGAAAGACAATGGAATAGAGAGGTTTTTAAGCAATGACATATTGGACATTTCCATAGAACGTTTCAAAGAAAAGCGGTTTATTGTTTGAGTCACTGGCTGCTCTGTCTGTGCAAAGCATTAGAAATAACGTTTTTGCCCTGGTCATATTACTGCAGGACAAAATGCATTTTAAATGTACTTAAAGCCACACTCCGAACAAAAATGATAATTTACACAACTCACTGGGTATGTAAATCATTAGCTGGATGTTATGTGCAGAGGGCTGCCGCAAAACTATAAAAATCTTAACTTGCAGCACTGCACACAACGCTCAGCTTCTGCTTCAGTCACATCACCCCCTCCTCTTCACTATTCTCCATTCAGAAAATGTCTTGTATTTATAAAAAAAAATGCAAGGCATTCTGTGATTGGAGGAAGAGATGTCACATGTGGCGTGCCAGCAAGTTGTGTTGGCAGGCATCACTCATCATGATTGACACCATCTACTGGACAACACATTTGGCATTTGATTCATATACAGGAACTTTTTTGTTTGAGAGGGAGGGTGGATTTTTTTTGCCTCCTAAGGTAGAGTGCATATGGTCTGGTATGGTTCACAAAGGGTATACATGCTCCAGGTCTCCCCCAAACCTTTTTCTGGCCAGCAAGGCTGCATAACTAGATAAGGATCTGGTATGGACTTTGAGGGGTACCCCCATGTAGTTTTATACTAAGAGGGACAGTACACAATGTGCACTTACCCTTTTAGAAAAAAAAAACCCACAAACAACGGCATGGGGGTTCCCCTCAAAATCCATCCATCCATTGCCCTACACTTCAGTTGTTAAATGACAGTTCTTTGGCTGCTGTGGTAATGTAAACAGAGCAACTGGGGATTCCAGGTGAGGTCATTGACCAAATAATGTTCATCTGGCAGGGAAGTGTCATTTAGCCGTGGTACATGTCCGTTTTAAAGAGTACATGGTACTAGTGCACAACTGCACATGCAGGTTTAAGGCATCCCACCAAGTGAGGTATTTTAATGAGTCATGTATCTGTAATGCTACCCTTTAAGCAGCATTAAAAATCTCCACCTATGCTGAATGGTGTATTTAAAACTTTTTTGTATTTGTACATGTTCCCCATGGCATTGCCCAGCTGCCCATGACTAACAAAAGGTTGCAAATTGGCCCTGAAAAAAGGTCAGGGAAAAAAAGAAAAAAACAAGCCCAGGCTTTCACGGACTTCCTTGGGTTCACCGCTATGTTCGCGATTTGCAGATCTGCCAAACTAGCCATTTTGTCAGTACAAATTTTACACGCAGGCCAAAAATCCTGTTATCTTAAATCATACATCACAGGACACATGGAGCTTAATACTTAAACATATGGGATGTCCAAAAGAAACGCGAGCAACACAGCAAACAATGGCCAACTGGCCCATGAAACAACTAACCCCAAGGAACCAAGGAGGGGGCCCACAATTCAGAGAACAGTTTAAAGAATCTTGAGGTTGAAGACAACATCTGTATGAACAGTGGACCAGGTGGCAGCCTTGCAGATTTGGGAAACCAAAGCCTGATGCTGTAAGACCTAACAAGTACCAGTAATAATGCTCCTGGTAGAATGAACAGTTATCAAAAAGGGGGGGGGACATTACCCTTTAGTTTGTAGGACTGAGTTATAGTATGCAAAATCCACATGGTACTAGTGGCACTAGGTACATGAAGCTGACTTCCTCATACCGAGACCTGCAGGAATGTCAAAGAGGGAGTCAGAGTTGCAGATAGAAGCTGTAACAGAGGTAAGCTTAAAAACAGCTCAAGCCACATCCAAACAGTGTAGAGAAACTACTTGATGTTTTGGTGCAGGACATAATGGTAAAACAACGTCCAAATTAAGGTGGGCAGCAGAAACCGCATCAGAAATAAAGGAGGCCCTTGGGGGTCAGAACTACCTTCTCCTCATGGATAACCAGAAAGGGCTCTCTACACCTTAAGGCTGTCAATGAACTCATACCTGGCAGAAGAAATGGCAATGAGAAAGGCAACCTTACAAGAGAGATAAGGGTCAGAGAATGAGATGTTCAAAATACACCTGCTGCAGACCAAACAAAACTAAGTTAAGGTTCCACGGACCTCCTACACAAAGGCCTCCACTAGAGAGAGAAAGGGCAAGTGCCACTTAAAAAAATAAAAATCACCAAGGCAGTTAACCTCAAATAGTATTCAAGGCCAGATGCTGTTCCAGCCCAGACTGGAGAAAAGATGAGATGCATTACACATTACTTCCTGGAATGGAACTTCTTGTTTTGCTTCATACCAAGCTAAATAAACATTCCAGGGACGATGGTAGACCTTGCAGGGGGGTTGACTTCCTAGGTTTCAGAAATGGAGGGATGGCCGTTTCCAAGGGGCCTCTGTCCTTCAAGACCTGGATTTCAACAGGGACAGAGAAGCGGGGTGAAATGCCAGTCCTGAGGTCCAGAAGTCTGACTAAGAAGTCTGCGTTCCACAGTCGCCTGGAACAGTTGGTAGCAATGAGGATCACTGGAATGCTCTACTTCTCAATCCTGGAAATGAGTAGAGGAAAGAGTTTCAAAAGGAGAAGGCAAAGATCAGGCTGACCTGATCCTATGGAGTCACCATTTTATCCAAGGCAAAAGCCAAGGAATCCCTGGACCTGGTTATAAACCGGTTCAGCATATTGTTAAATCTGGGTGCCTGGAGGTCCAAGTGCAGTGCCCCCCACTTAAGAGACAGGTCCTGAAACACCTCTGGGTGAAGGGACCATTCTACAGACAGGGCTGGGATGTGAAGTTCTGCCCAAACCAGAATCAGTCTCACTTCTCATGCCCCCCTAGTGGTTGCGCATACCACGATAATGGCATTGTCCGAATGAATGCTGCATTGGTGGCCCTGTAACTTGGGGGAGTCCAGCATTGAAAGGATAGCCAAATTGCCCTGAGCTCCAGGATATTGTCTGTTTTTGTGCCCAAGACACAAATACTGGTGGATGGAGGGTTCTAGTGACAATTTCTGGACAAGTCTGATAAATGTTGACTATAAGTCTTTTTGCCAATGGTGCTCCATAGAGGAAGACCTAGTCAGCAAGAATCTGACCTTGGGCAGTGAGAGGATCCGGACATCCAGCATGAGTTTTGTAACTTTGAGAGTTTAAGTGAAAAGGACTGGGCAAACTGACAGCTTTGCGCAGGATCCGTTGGCCTAAGCACAGTACAGGCTCGCATTTTCTTTCCAGTGGAGTCTGGATATGGTCTGCCAAGCCTCTGATGAGGAGAAAACAGGTTTGGATAGCTGCTGTTTAGCTGCTGTTAAGTGCCACAGTGGCTCTGAGCAGCACAAAAAACAAAACTTGCTAAAATAATCTTTAGTTGTAAAATGCAGGAAAAGATTAACTCCTTTGAGTGAAGTCCACACTAGATTTAATTAAAGAAAAAAAAATTAAATCAGATTTTGCTTCTCTTTTTTAATTAAGCAGAATATTTTAAATAAAACTATTGAAAATGGCATGAACAAAAATGATAGGACCGTTAACCTAATATTTTGTTGCCCAGCCTTAAGAGGCAATCACTGCAAACATGTGAATTATATGCAGTGTCTCACAGAAGCGAGTACACCCATAACATTTTTGTAAATATTTTATGATATCATTTCATGTGACGACATTGAAGAAATGACACTTTGCTACAATGTAAAGCAGTGAGTGTACAGCTTGTGTATCAGTTACATTTGCTGTCCCCTGCAAATAACTCAACAGACAGCCATTAATGTCTAAACTGCTGGCAACAAAAGTGAGTACACCCCTAAGTTAAATTGTCCAAATTGGGCCCAATTAGCCACTTTCCCTCCCCGGTGTCATGTGACTCGTTAGTGTTACAAGGTCTCAGGTGTGAATGGGGACTTCCAGCTGGTCACTGAAGTTCAACATGGCACCTCATGGCAAAGAACTCTGAGGATCTGAAAAAAAGAATTGTTGCTCTACATAAAGATGGCCTAGGCTATAAGAAGACCCTGAAACTGAGCTGCAGCACGGTGGCCAAGACCATACAGCGGTTTAACAGGACAGGTTCCCCTCAGAACAGGCCTCGCCATGGTCGACCAAAGAAGTTGAGTGCACGTGCTCAGCGTCATATCCAGAGGTTGTCTTTGGGAAATAGACGTATGAGTGCTGCCAGCATTGTTGCAGAGGTTGAAGGGGTGGGAGGGTCAGCCTGTCAGTGCTCAGACTATACGCTGCACACTGCATCAAATTGGTCTGCATGGCTGTCGCCCCAGAAGGAAGCCTCTTCTTCTAAAGATGATGCACAAGAAAGCCCGCAGTTTGCTGACGACAAGCAGACTAAGGACATGGATTACTGGAACCATTTCCTGTGGTCTGATGAGACCAAGGTAAACTTATTTGGTTCAGACGGTGTCAAGCATGTGTGGCAGCAACCAGGTACGGAGTACAAAGACAAGTGTGTCTTGCCTACAGTCAAGCATGGTGGTGGGAGTGTCATTGTCTGGGGCTGCATGAGCGCTGCCGGCACTGAGGAGCTACAGTTCATTGAGGGAACCATGAATGCCAACATGTACTGTGACATACTGAAGCAGAGCATGATCCCCTCCCTTTGGAGACTGGGCCGCAGGGCAGTATTCCAACATGATAACGACCCCAAACACACCTCCAAGACTACCACTGCCTTGCTAAAGAAGCTGAGGGTAAAGGTGATGGACTGGCCAAGCATGTCTCCAGACCTAAACCCTATTGAGCATCTGTGGGGCATCCTCAAACGGAAGATGGAGCGCAAGGTCTCTAACATCCACCAGCTCCGTGATGTCGTCATGGAGTGGAAGAGGACTACAGTGGCAACCCGTGAAGCTCTGGTGAACTCCATGCCCAAGAGGGTTAAGGCAGTGCTGGAAAATAATGGTGGTCACACAAAATATTGACACTTTGGGCCCAATTTGGACATTTTCACTTAGAGGTGTACTCACTTTTGTTGCCAGCGGTTTAGACATTAAGGGCCCATTCACACCAGATGCAGTCCGTTGCGTTTTTGAGCTGCATCAAAAACACAGCACAATGATTTCCAATGGGATTCTGTTGTTCTGTTCACACCAGACTAGTCTGTTCCGATGCAGCCAGAAAAAGTACTGCTTGCACTATTTTAGCTGCATCAAAAACGCATGCAAACGCAACGGAACTAAAAACCCACAGATTTAGTAATGTCATCTTCTGGGGACTTTCTGCGAGTTGGTGGAGGAGATTAGGAATGGAACAGCTCTGGAAACATGGATGCTGATCTAATAATCAAATATCTCTGACCGTCAGCAAGGGGCCCAATAACGACGTTATTATTATTATATTATAATAACCTCCTACGGTGGATGAGAATGGCTATAGCCAACACTAACACCATGCCTTCAAACAAAGGAAGCATGTTTGAGCTAGAAAAAGGAGGAAAGTGCTGTGACAGGAAGAAGGAAGTGACATATAGTCTAATTTGCATGTTGGAAAAAAAAACTGCATCGGAACGCATCAAAATGCATCGCAATGCAATGGCTAAAACGCATGCATTTTCAATGCAGTTTTGGTGTGAATGAGGCCTAATTGCTGTGTGTTAAGTTATTTTGAGGGGATAGCAAATGTACACTGATATACAAGCTGTATACTCACTACTTTACATTGTAGCAAAGTGTAATTTTCTTCTGTGTCCTCACATGAAATGATATAATAAAATATTTACAAAAATGTGAGGGGTGTACTCACTTCTGTGAGATACTATATATTTATATTAAATTCACCTCACAAATCTCCCTCTCAGAGCAGAAACTACCGCTCAAACTGTCATAATGAAACTCTGAAGGAGGTGCTTATGTAAAGATTGTCTAACAGTTGATAAATGGCCAAAAAATCTTTGTGAATTACACTTGTATATAGTTAATTAGGCTTATTAAAACAGGTTTGAACTGTTAAATAACTAGGTACACGATAAATAATCACTTCTGCAAAAACAGACGTCAATTGGTGGAGATTCCAAGTGTTAAATCATTTGGTGAATTGAACAAACCTAAATAGCGTGCAAACCAAAATTTTTTTTAAAGCTTTGTGAATTGACACCAGTTTATTATTATACCCTTTTATTTATATGTGCAGGTCATTTTTAGGGCTGCAGAAATGAACTATTAATTTCTAGAATAATCGTAAAAAATTTTGATCAAAAATGAAAACTCACCTCTCTGCCGGCTTCCGGGAGTCCCGTCGGAGATCCAGTGACGTCACGGACATAGACGTCACCGGACTCCTCCCCCCTTCCCCAACTGGCTCCGTCGGCTAACGAAGGGAAGGAGTCCAGTGACGGTTATGTCCGTGACTCCTCCCCCCTTTCTTTCGTTAGCAGACGGGCCACTTGGGCCGGTGTTCTATGGATAGTCCCAACTTATCGAGTTCTGGGACCGCCTGACTTCCGGTTTCCTTAGAACTATGAGGTTTGCCCCAGAAAGTTCTTCTGCACGAGCGCCAGCCACGGCACTGCCCTATACACTGCCCTAGACCACAGCAATAAAGGAATAAAATGAACTAGGATCACACTAATCCAGCACGTTATTAGGGCTGCAACAATTAAAATCGACATAATTGATTATAATCGATGATTGAAAAAGTTGTCAACTTTTTCAATCGATTAATCGGCTTCCGATTGGTTGGCCCTGTTCACGGCTCCACACACGCTGCGCGCCACACCTCCTCCCCACCTCACGCTTGCCGCTGCCAGACCCGCCTGGCCGCATCCACGCTCCACCTCCTCCCCGTCTCACGCTCACCGCCCGCATCCACGATCGGCACAGGGACACTATAGCCTGCACCATTCTGCATTCATTGCTGTATAATTTTACACTTTTCATTTCACTATATTGCACACCAATATTTTTCTTTTTTACTTCCACCGCTCCAAGCTTGCTCCTGTGATGGACTGCAATCTCAATACAAACTAGTAGTCCCATCACTGGAGCCATTTTTTAACATTTAATTTTTTTATCCGATTAATCGAACTTAATAAAATCGGCTAATAGATTTTGAAAATAATAGTTAGCTGCAGCTCTACACGTTATTATTACGAGTTGTCCTACTGAAGCGGCAGACATATTGAGTGGGGCACGTGAGATTAATAACGTGCTGGATTAGTGTGATCCTAGTTCATTACTTCATTGCTGTGCAGTATGTGTATAGGCCAATGTAGTTGGATCTGTATGTGCGTTATAATTAATCGAAATTAAAATCAATTAAAAAAATTTCGATTAATCGAACACGAACATTTTAATCAGTAACAGCCCTAGTAATTTTAGAACAATTTTGTACAATAATTAATCTCTTTTGCTTTAATCGATATGACATAGTATAAGGTATGCAAGTACACACAAGGAGTAATGAAGCACAATTGCAATGAGCTGCAAGAGTACCAACATTTTGTCCACATCTGTATGTAAAGCCCACCCCAACCACTTTACAACATTTGGTCCACATCTGTACGTAAAGCCCACCCTGACCACTTTACATTAAACTCTTCCTCACTCCCCTGCTGCTCCTTGCTCTGTTGCAGCCACAAAAATACCCAGTGTCTGAGCTCAGAGGGAACACTGATATTGCTCCCTTCCTCATGTGAGAACTAGGACTTGGAAAGAAATATGGAGCCTTCATGATAGGATACCTTTAAAAATACTAATGTTCTAGCTATACAGGGCATCAAAACGTCTAGGCCATGGAGCTGAAACAAGAGAGCGCAGCCAAACAAAAGTTGTGAAAGTCAGAATTCCTAATCTATAAAATTGTTTCCACTCAAAGATTTAAAGTACGGATGTCAAGGGATCAGCAAGCCAGTTAGGCAATTCACTTTCTCAGAAAGCAGGTCAGTAATGGAAGCTTGCTTATTTTTCTCAAGAACCCAATTGTGAAAAGAAGGCAAGAAATTGACTGGGTACTATGGCCAATAAGTTTACTTTTGTTCCTTCATATACAATGATGTATGACAACTTATATAGCGAACAGGCAGAGGATACAATGAAGTGACGGAGTGACTGCTAGACTGGTTTTGTAGAATGTAGATGTAGGTTACTGCATTTACCATTAGGAATATACATGTTGTGCAATCTATAATGAGAACTCAATTTTTTTTTTATATAGTAAATTAAGTTTACTAAATAGTTACCCGAGTGGAAAGGAAACTGTTGTTTTGCTTCCCCTGTGTGTGCATCCCAGATAATTGTCGTCTGTGAAAAGAACATACAAAACATCAGCAAGCAGATTTTTCCCAAGACAAACTTTGTAGGTGTAGAGCTTCAAGGGAAAACAACTCAAACTTTTTAGGCTAGATGAGAATTAAAGACCAAATTAAAAAAAAAAAAGTTAAATAATCGTCTCTGTGCCTTTAAATCTAGAACTACTTTTATAAACATTTTGTGCTGAGCACATCCACTGCCTATCTAATGTGAGCATGGCGATTCCTGAAGCTTACATTGCCTTTAAAAGGCTTCTGAGACCCGTGCTAGAGATTAGCAGGGCAGGCAAGTGAAGAACTCAGCATTTCTAAAAGGATGGTAATAAAATGGTGAAAAAAATATGGGAAGATGAGAAGCGGTAATGGACTTTTCCATATTACCTTGTCTACCCCTGCACTTAAAATAAAGTTTCCTTTCTTGTTCCATTTCAAGGCGAATATAGGTCCTTTATGTTGCCCCAAGGTGCTTGCAAGGTTTCCTGCAGGTTAGAGTGAATGCTTGCAATTAATTCAATTTGTTGTAAGTGATTAATTCAAAATAAATCAGCACACAGTTTACATATTCATTTTGTATCTTTCTCCAAGAAAAGCAAAAACAAACAATTCTCTAAAATATGTGGGCACAAAGAAGGGCTGCCTGTCTTAAAGAAAAACTTCCAACTAGGGATGCATCGAAATTTCAGCTGCCGAAACATATTGGCCGAAACTGCACTTTTGGCAAAATGCTGGAAGTACCATCTTTCGGCCGAAATTGCGGTGCATCTCCCGTTTCTCTCCTCCCCGCTGTGCGCTGCTCTGTCCCCCCCCCCCTTCTGACACAGCGCAGCGTACAGCAAGGTGGAGAGAAACCGTCAGATGAGGCCGAGCGGTGCAGGAGACACCCAGCGTGTCACAAAAAGTCAGCCCCCCCTCAGCATCCTCTGACCTATCAGGATGGAGAGCGGTGTGGAGGCGGAGACAGTCACGCGCTATCACAGGAGCCCAAGTTAGCGGTAAGGGGGAGGAGTCAGCTGTCAAAATGGACCAAGCTCTCCCCGCACCGCCTCCTGTGACAGCCAATCCAGGATGGAGAGTGAGACAAGCAGTCAGTGATCGCTCGTTGTAAATAACTGGACATAGTATGAGTTACTATGTACCAGTTATGAATGAATAGGAAGTGATCTACATCACTGCCTGTTTATTCATGATTATGGATATGGTAAGCATACTAAACATACCATCTCTACAATTTATGAAGGAACACTCAGTATAGAGCAGGGGTCTCAAACCTCCGGCCCTCCAGCTGTGGTGAAACTACAAATCCCATGATGCATCTCTCTTTGGGAGTCATGTCTGTGGCTGTGAGAATCTTGCAATGCCTCATGGGATTTGTAGTTCCACCACAGCTGGAGGGCCGGAGGTTTGATACCCCTGGTATAGAGGCTTCCTATTCATTTATAACAAGGGCTGCAGAAAAACAGATTGGGGACTGTGTCCTCAATCTCTTTTTCTATTTTAAAAGGGAAATATTTTTCAGTCTGACTTTTTTTTATTTTCGGCGCACGTCTACTGCCAACACTAAAGTTGGCCATACACCTATGAACCCAACAATCTGATTGGATGCAGGCATTGTTCAGGTGTTTTGAGAGCCAGCCGGGCCGACTAGCAAGCTACTGAAGCTTGGTCCAGCGGGAGATTCCTCCATCCACACAGTTTAGCATAGATGGAGGAATCTTGTTGTACTTTTCCCATCTGACCATAGAATAATCTATAGGCATATGGCCAGCTTAACAGATCCTATACAACCAACATGCAACAGAAATAGTTGGCTACTATTAAAATCCTATATACTGCCTATACAAGAAATAGGCTTTCACTAGCTGCTGCCAATAAAGCTTTATGGAGTAGGGGAAAGGTACCGATGTCAATAAAAGGTTTAATCCCTAGTGCACACACTGATCTTTTCTGTCCCCAAAGTATCAGAATTAATGCCACTACTACAATCAATGGAACAGTTATCTGAATGAGGAATGAGATCTAATGCAGGCTGCAGAGCAATCAAGTAAAAAGGTGAGCTATAAGGAACAATAGGGAAAGGACTAAAACACAGACACACAGATACACATGCTTACCATCTTTTGTCCATATTCTGGCAAAACCATCATAGGACCCAGTTGCTAGAAGTGTTCCTTCACTCTGTTAAAAAAAACAAGTTTAATAGTGAAAAAACACTAGGCTTCATCATAAAACCTACTTCACCATCACCAATGCCCCTTCATCAGCTACCTGACCTGCTCAATCATTATTCTTCTAGATATAAAAACTGTATTAAAGCTCAACTTTTATTTATTTTTGTTACTACTTTTGAGTTCTCCTTAAAGGGCTCATTTACAAGACAACACAACCACTAATAAAAGTTTACTTGTAATAAGAGAGTTGTATTAGGCAGCCTATCGAGATTGATTGTCAATGGCCCTTAAAAAACAAAAACAGCACTATAAGCAAGAATGCAGTGCACCGAAATGCAAATATACCATGCGTTGCAGCCCACGATTCTCTGATAAACTTGTTCACACATATGGAAACGGAGTGGGTTTGGATATGTATTACCTGTTCTATAATTGCTGTGCTGTATGTTCCCTATTCCACACATCCCTATTCTTCAAGCTAAACTGAATGTTCCCTATTCCACGCCTTCTCAATTGATATCTAAATGGAAATTGTATAACAAAAAAGAAAAAAAGACCTTTTAAACACAGGCCTAAACAACTATGCACAGCAGGATCTCCAACTCTACTAGCATTGCTTGCTTGGAGGTCAGTGACCTAAATGTATTTAAAGCCAGAGCCAACCCAGTAACCGGCATTTTTCCAGATCAAACAATACCCATCAAATGTTGCCCAGCAAAGCATTTATTTTATATTGTCACCCCAAGCACACACAGTTTCATGCATGTTTCAGAAGAGCTGAAAAACTTCTATGTCCAGTACAAGATCACAAGGAACAGAGCAGGAGAAGGAAGTGGCCTGCCTTGCTGTGTTTGTGGAGACACACACAGCTTCCTAGCACACACAAGGGTGGCTCCAAGGGTTCCCGCAAGGGAAAGGAGCCACAGTACCAGGATATCAGGGCCAGTGCTCAGGGGAGCAGCCGACTCTGCAGGAAACCAAAACTTAAGCATCAAGAAGCAGCATCCATTGTTAGTGATTTAATGAGCATTTTAAATAGCTTAAAATAATGACACTAATATCACGTTAAGGCTTCACACCTATGCATTGTGTTACACACATTTGTGCGCTGTAGCACCATTCATTTTCAATGGCACCCCAACGCACTTTCATTGAAGAGCACATTAGCACACTACTGTACATTGTAGTGCACAGAGTCGGTACAGGTGTGTCTTTGTCCGTTCTGCTGCTGTGGCAGCCCATTCATGCCTTAACACAACATACCAGAACGGATAGGTGTAAAGTATGCCTAACATTCTTCACACTAGAGGAGAGTGCTGTGCTTCAGTAAATGTTTTACACTAAAAGTGATACAGTAATAAACAAGAAAGCGGAGAAAAACACATTTTAAACTCTTGGACAAGGAAGTAGAGATACTAAAATTCACATTTTTTACATAAACTTTCTGACTTACATTCCAATCTAAAGATGTTACATCCTTGTTGCTAGGAACATCTTGCCCACCCTCTCGTATACAGTGTCGGAGGACCAGCTGTGTTGAACCGCTAGTGCTGTTTTCACTAAGATTCCATATCCTTGCTGTTGAATCCCCTGACCTAGAGAAGACAAATTCAGGAAAAAAGAACTAGGTTAAAATACCTCACTTGATAATGAACAAAAGCACATGTGACAATAGAGAACACCCTTTTGTTGCACTCTGGGGTCAATGTAGTGGCAAAAAAGTGTCTAAAGTTAAATATAAGCCACTGTTGTATCATGCTACAGTGTGGGTCCAAACATTTTAAGGATATTAGATTAACAAGCTCTGGGACTGGAGTGAATGTCTGTATACCTGGGCCATATCGATGATTACTGTGAGATTGCAAGCCCTCATGGGCAGGGCCCTCCTTACCATCTTGTCTTGAATTGTATTCTAATGTGCTATGCAAACTGTTGGTGCTATATAAACCCTGAATAACAACAATAACAATAATAATAATAATAAATACTGTACAGTGAATCCAAAGAAATGAAAAAACAAAATCTTACCCCGATGCCAGAAGATCACTAACTGGGTTCCAGGCACAAATAAACACTTCTGATTCATGACCCCGTAATACTACTGCTTTGCTAGATGGGATTTCTACATCTCCATCAACTTCCATCAGATCAGTGTGGTTATCTGTTAAAAGAACACAAAGACATCCTTAACAGAAATTCAAACATTTTTTTTACATTAACAGCTGCTTAACTTCTAAAATGGTCTGACCCTCTAGGTACAACAAAGCAAAGCTACACAAAACAAACTCAACAAGGTACATGTCGTACATTAAAGAAGAAAAACAAAATAAAACAAGTTTAAAGTCAAAATAAGCACAATTCAGGAGTTTAGGATCACTATTTTTGTGCTGACACTGTCCTTCCTTCTGGAGCAGGAGTCTCAAAGGGAGGGGAAGAGTATTATTGTGCGTGTGTATGTATATTAGCAATAGAAAAATGTCACCAGCACACCATAAGTTGAAAAAGCAAAATATTGTATTGCCAATAGCTGCATCTCATTTGCCAGTGAGATACAGATATTGGCAATAAAATATGCGTGTGTGCTGGTGAAATTTTTCTATTGTTCATGTGTGACCGTGCCATCCGCAGTCATTTTCGAGCACCCATCCTCATCAAGTGGGAATCCCGGTAAGGAGTGCGGTATGGTTCCTGCCTCTGTATGTATATTAGGCCCCATCACATTTATATTTCAGGTGCTTTTAGGGATTCCTGTGTCAGGAACTTGTTTTCTCCTGCAGTAGGAATCCCTAATCTGGCGTTTACATGCAGCAACTGTCACCCATTCAAGTTAATGATCAGGTGACAGCTGCTGCCTGTAAACAACTGCACACCACGTGTAATGGTATGCGATATGATCACATAGGAAGGAAAGGAACAACTACCAGGGTTGCAGCGGTGACCTAGCTCTGGCACTCCACCACTGTCCTGAAATCATCAGTCTGTATTGCTTTTTAAAAAAAGGTCACATGACAACAAAAATGTATCAGTAATTGTATCTTTGAGTAGTTGGACAAGTACTTGGTCTGGAAAAAATGGTAACAGTGCATCCCTAATATAAAACAAATCCTACATTAAAACAGAGATGCACAAAACCCAGGAGCTCCGTGTGCTCCTTACAAATGACAGCTGCCTCCTAACTTTTGAGTTTTTCTCTAGTCTAGTCTTGGGGCTGAAAAAGTATCTGTACTTGTACCAAGTATACGGAACTTGGTATCTGTACATCCTTACTTGCACATTTCTATCTGCCTCCATATCATCTCCCATTATAGTGCATTGGTTTTTTTTTTCCACTTCTCCCTCACAGCTCCACCAGTCCTCCCCAATATGCCTGCCACCTCTCTACTTTGCCATCCTCAAACTACAGCCTAGAGCCAAGCTGCGTGTGACATGTGGAGCAAAGCATTGTGACAGAAGAGCAGAACTGAGATGACC